TCTCAGGAAGAGACATCAACTAACGAAAATGACATCAATTGAACGCAGAAGTTTGCTGGAAAGAAACCAAGTACCGCTGTGCCCACTGACAAGGAACTTTAAAGTGGAAACAGGGTAACTCTTTGCTAAATTTTGACTATCTGTAAGATTATTGTTGAGTGTAAAAGAATTAATCTTTACTTCTGATATTTGTAATAAGACCATTTCAAATACTGTTTGTATAATATAAAACAGTTTGTGCTTTCCCCTTGTAATGAACTTAGTAGGAAGTATTTTGGCAGCCTGTTGTGAATGTGCTCAGTTACTGACCACCACGTTAAACTAGCAAAAATAAAACATTTGATATGTTAGGCCATTTGATTTTGTTAAGCCAGATTTCATTCTGGGATCTGACTAGTTCAGTATTACCATAAGTTGAGCTCGTAATACTTGGGAAAGCAAAGAATATGGTTGAGAGTCTAGGAAGTCTTCAGAAACTGTCCTGAAGAAATTTGACAGTCAAATCTTGATCTGCAGCTTCCCATTGTAAGAATGTTGACATGCAGCGTCCCTACTACAAATACATATGTGCAGTGTCTGACAAAGTGTGGCAGAGCAAGTAAGTTAATGTGGATAGGAAGTGAATGGTATACATACGATTTGTTTATAATTTATAGCCTCCCTTGGAGTTGCTGTCTAAGTTCAGGGCGTACTCTATTTTATAATAATGAAGACACTTGGGAGTAAGCAAGTTTAATTTTTATTTGATAGGGTTTTTGGTTCTTTAGGGACCAATCCCACTGCTGAATCAGTTATAATATTAAGCACAAATGTGTGTTCTTAATTTCATGGGGACATTCACTTGACTCTGTCTTGAGCTTGTCACACTACTTTATTAGTTGGGAGTATAAAGTAAAATGATTCTCAAGGTTTGGTAATTGAAGTACTGACTTGTAGCAGGATTTCATCCTTTATTCAGTTTGTGGTTTGGACCCTATCATGCTTGAGGTTACCTGATTAAAGCCTGTGTAAAATCTTCCTGCAATCCACGAGTATTCTTGGAGGATATTAAACTGGAATGTGACAGTAGATGAATAATGTCTAGTGGAGACACAGAACTAATGTAGCTGGATATAAAACTCTTGGTGCTGTTTTAAAAAAGCAGAATATAAAGTAAACAAGCAGCAAACTTTAAGGAATTGAATCTGTATGCACACATTGACAGAGATATGGTGCTGAAAGTATGGTCTAGTTTGAGACCAGTCACCTACCAGTAATGTATGCATGTTCTGAAGGGAGGTGGCTGTGGCAGCAAATACAGCTAAGTGATAGATTATGACGCTGCAAATTGTTTTAATCAAATGTGGCAACAAATCAACACAGCAGTTTATGCGTGGGTTTAGAAATGTTTTAACATCTGAGTAAGCAGTACAGCTTCACCCACTGCTATCAAGAAGTGGAATAACTAGTCCTTTGAGGCTTGGCATTCTGTGCTGTGATCTATTTTTGATACAGCTGGCTGCACTGGATTGCTGTGACTCAGTATGCAGCTTGTCAGCTGATAGTGATACTGTGATGTAAGAGGAAATGCAGAGCATAGAGCACGCAAACTTTTACCTGCTAAAGCAGGATGGTAAAGTGTTGACGTTTTCTTTCTCATTCTCTATCTTTCTCTCATTTGTAGTCTGTCAGCTTCTCTATGCTTCGTAATCTTGTAGTAAATGACTGCATAACGTAATCATTTGAAATTATGTGGACAAAGTTCTGTGTGGCTTGAAGTCAAAGGCCTTCAAAGGAAGCATGAAACAGATATTCAGTTAGGTTCTACACAACAGTAGATGTTGAATTAGTTCAGCTGGTAAAAATAGAAACAAGGACAATATTTTTGTAATAATTTTGACATGCCTATGTTAAATGGGTACAAGAGAAATTCTGTAGAAGGACGTACTCACAAAGGTCACCAAAATTAAATGTTCGGCCTGCCAGTCAAAATGCAATGCATTATAATGTTAATTACTATCTACTTTTGTAACCGAGTTACTCGATTTCAACTGATTGCTCGAATATTTCCTTTTTTTTTGAATTTCTGGTATTTTGGAGTGTTGAAAACTTAAGTATCTGAACACTGGACTAGTAAATAGCATTTCGTGTGTAATCATCTCTTTTATGTGACGTTCAGTTAGATTGAGGCTGCTTGGTTCTGTTAAATCTTTTAACACTTGAGTTGAAATACATACTTAATATCTTTTACAGACAGGGCTCATCAAAATTGTGTTGACGTTGACACAGCATTGCAAAATGCTTAGAAGTTCAGTCAAATAATTAAGACCTTTGTAAGAGCTAAGTAATTTGTTTATTTAATTCATAAAGCATATAAAATATGAGGATATATGTTGATGTGTGCCAGTTAACGTTGTCAGGTATGGTTAGTGTCCTTACTTTCACTTTATACCAGATGTTAACAGTAAAGTTCTTAAGTAGCACTTCATACTCGTCAATGACAGCCAAGTTCTAAACTACAATTGTATCGTTTAAGGCATGTGTCCGAACAGTTTGTGGTTCTGAACTTATTAGCATACAGTTACAGGCTTCGTTCAGATAATACGTAGAGTCCAGGAGCAAGTGAGGGGTTAATTTCTTTTATATAGGACAAAGAGGACTGCGGCACGTACTGATTAGCCATTCTGTAGTCCTGTAGTCTGAGATTACCTTTCAGGATGCTTCTGGAGTAGTGATTGCTATGGCACAGGAGCACATAGCCCAATAACGCTTGATGCTGTCAAGCAGATATAATCCATGGTTAAACCAGTTACGTACCAGTGTTAACCAGATCTGTCTATCTCTCAGTATCCCTCCCCTATTTCCTAACCCCTGAATTATAGAAACAATGGTAATTCCTCTCAATTTCCAAAAAAACAGTATTGGGCACCAAGGAGAGAATATGCAAATCTTTGGTCACCACTAGAATATTGCATCTGTTTTAGACAACAGACTTTAGGAAGGATTTGATAGAGACATAGAAGATTATTACAAGTCTCAACAAGGTAGCCAAAGAGACGCTGTTTTGGTTGGTTGATCCTGTAAGGACTAGATACTTATGGATAGATTTGTGATTTTGGGCAAGAGCAACACGGGAAATATGAAGAACCACCTTTTAATGCATTAAATGTTAATGACCAGGCTGGTGGAAGTGAAAATAATCGATGGTTTCCAAAGGAAGTTGGATGAACATGCAGGACTACAGAAAGTGAGAATAGGACTGACTGGATTGCTCTACTCTGAGCCAACGTGGACTTGATTGGCTATGTGGCCTCCTGTGCTGTAATGATTCCTACCTGAATAGATAGAACAAGGCAGTCGCATGGACTATGTAGGATTTTAAATCCTCAATTTGACCGCTTCGGTAAACTCATCACTAGAAATATGAAGCAGGCTCCGTGGTTAGCACTGCTGCCTCAGTGCTAGGGACCCGGGTTCAATTCCGCCCTTGGGCGACTGTCTGTGTGGAGTTTGCACTTTCTCCCCGTGTCTGCGTCGGTTTCCTCCGGGTGCTTCGGTTTCCTCCCACAGTCCAAAGATGTGCAGGCTAGGTGGATTGGCTATGCTAAATTACCCATAGTGTTCAAGAGATTCCTAGATTAGGAGGAGTTAAAGGGGGATGGGTCTGGGTGGGATGCCCTGAGGGTCAGTGTGGACTTGTTGGGCCAAAGGGCCTGTTTCCACACTGTACGGCTTCTATGATTCTATGAATGAAATTTATCGTGTCGTGATTGTTGTGGAGTCTGACTTAAGAAAAGATGATTTAGTACTTTTCTTTCTGGAAAACATCTCAACCAGTGTTTGAAATGCAGTTACTGTATGTACAATCAATTCATACATAATGACATTTACAGAAGGCATCAAGATGATTAGCCACCTATCCTTGTTTTAGGATGCTCGTTCAGAAGAATTTGATAGCAGGACACCAGGAGAATTCTGCTTAAAGTCTGGTGTCAGTTAGGACAGACTTCAGTTTGAAACAAACAGAAACAGAAATTGCTAGAGAAACTCGGCAGGTTTAGCAGCATCGGTAGAGAGAAAAGAACAGTTGAAGTTTTGACTCCCCCAGTTCGACTTCTATCAAAGTTGTCACCTCTGACCATGTGCCAATTTACACTGCTTTTACACATTTCTCATTTCACTGGCCAAGTTTACTTGCTCAAGGCTGAGTTGAGAACTAATTTCACAACCTTCTGAATATGAGGAATGGTTACTGCCACCTGGACCAAGCTGGTCACTTTGCACGTGTAATAGCTGTTTCTTGCTTCAAGATTTTAGGATTTCCCTGCCGTGGGAAGTATGTTGCTTTCATGAAGTGTTGATTTTGCGATTTTTCAGCTCAAGGTGATGAGTATATCTGTGCTGTCATGCATGCCTTTTGTAGGTTTGATGATGCCGTTATTTAAAATTGATGTCACTTTCTCTATACCACTTTGGCTATGTGATTTTATTGTTACATAATCTGATTGATTTGAAGAAGAATTAAACTTCTCTTCTGATTTGGTTGCTTCACTTGGCTGTTGTGTTGGGTGTTTATGCTACCTTCTGTAGTCAACCAGTTCAGACCGAAACAAGGCTTGACCAGTTTGAGTGCCTTTAGGAAATGTGACCTTGAATATTTTTCAGCCTCTTCATTTGTGAAAATTGGGAAGTCAGGAATTTTACAATGGTAGGTAATTTATGTTATATGGTATTTGTGTGCTGTGATCAGTTGCTATGAAAGCTAACCACATCTGTGTAGGTGCTGATTTAGTATTAACTAGTATACATTGATCTGTAGTCGTTTTGTGAAATTTCAAGCCAAACACAATGGGAACTTCTTTTTTGACTAAAAGCATCTGTTGCACCATGTACATCAAACATGATCAGTTATCACCACAATATTTACTCAGGAAATAGTGCTTCCTAAATATAAGAATTGTTTCAAATGTTAAAGTTGGATTTGATCATTGTATTTCATTTCTTTTCTTTTCTTTTCTTAGAGTTCTGGAATTGAGACTTTAGTGGAGGAGCTTTGTTCCAAATTGAAAGAACTGCAGAATAAGCAAAAAGGTATGTTTGTTTCAATGTAAGTGTTTTTGAGTACTGTCTGTTGAAGTTTTTAGAAAACTACAGGGGGGTGTACACCTAAGGTCTGAATCCAAGATGTCACATGGCAATTTCCCAAGCTGGCATAGTTCCAGAACACTTGAAAACGTGAATCCACTGTAAAGTTAACATCAAGGGTTTTTTAAAAATCTTGGTTATATTCAAATTTTCAAGTATTCACAAACTTCAATCACTTTTATTGAAGTTGTTCTTATCAACCTGTTTGGCTGTTTAAAATACTGATGTCTTCTTCCATTTCAAATGTAGACTTTATATTAGGAAAGAAATTTTATTTTTCCTCATTGATTAAAATTGTACTTTGATTATCTTTGAATACTTGTTTAAAAATTAGTCTGTCTCAATTTTTTTAGTTGCTCAGAGAAATGCTAGTTTAGAGTGCTTCAGCATTCATTTTCACATTTACAGGCCAGGAAACCATGTGGTGCTACAGAATTGTTATTTCAAATGATGATTGACTCAGTGAAGCCTAATGACAATGGTTAGAAGGTAGTTCTAATCGAGTTACATCAGTCAGATCAAAATCAACTAGATTTAAGTAAAGCATGTTTGCACAAATTTTAAAAAGCACGGAGTCAAAAGATGTTTAACGTCATAATTGTTTCTCCAAAGACTAGAGGACATAAGAAAAAGGAGTAGGAATAGACAGTTCAGCATCTTTGAAACAAAAACCGAGGTTACTGGAAAAGCTCAGCAGTTCTGGCAGCATCTGTGAAGAAAAAAAATCAGTTAACTTTTTTTGGGTCTGGTGACCCTTCCTCACCATCATAGACCTTTATCTTGCGTTAAAGACTTGGGTTAATTTTATACTTCAGCTCTGCCTTATTCTCCATCCCTGATTCCCTTTAAAATCCAAAATTCTGTTCATTAGTCATAAACCTTTTCAATATCCACTGCATTCACAGACCTGTGGTTCAGAAGCTCCTAAGATCTGCAACCCTTTGAGGGAAGAAATGTATTCTCATCTCCGTTCACAAAAGCTGAAGAGTTATTCTGAGAGAGTGACTCTAATTTTAAACTTCTCTGTCAGGAAAATGTCTCCCAAAGTAAATCTGCCTAAGAATTTTAAGTTTCAATGTGATGCTAAACGGTCTGTGGCTGATATTGCCTAACCAAAATAAATACAGTTCTCATACAGCCAGAATCTGTGGGCTTCCTTATATCTTTTCCATATTGTATTAAATTGGTATTTGCTGATGGCATTTAGTGCAGTGTTGAAAAGATTGAAGTCAAGTTTGTTAGCCTAAGGTTCCAGACCTGCAGAAAACTTGCAATATTTTTTTGCTATCCTACTCGGAAATTGATTAATAATTCATTCATTGTAATTGGAAGTTTTATCCCAAGCTTAAAAGGTGAGTGGCATGGCAGTATTTTGGTCAAGAAAGGTGCTGCACTTGTGTATAGAAACATGATATATTATTTTGGATTGTTACAGTAAAAAAAAAAGTTGGACTGAGATCTAAATGAGTTGATCAGCTGTTCTGTGTTCTGTTGGACTATCTGAGAAATTAAATTGTTTAATCTGGCCTTGTTGAAATGTAAGCGATTTGACAGCTGAAGTTTGGACAAATACATATAAGGGTACGTGCAAAACGCACAGTGCCCATTTATTACATCCCCTGAATTACAAGACCACAAATAGATATCTGGCAGTCATAGTAATGCACCTTAAATTTTTAGTATGTAGGTCCTTGCAAATCTTTTTGAATGGCAACTTAAAAGGTCAGATTTGTGCCTGGCATGTGTGTGAACTTTCAGGTTGCTGTCTATCCTTGCAGTTTGGAGGGAATATCAGTGAGTCAAATGTGCTATTCAAGATCCTGCTTCTGGCAACAGCTGACCCTTGGGAACTTGCAAAGATACTTGTAAGAGACTGGGTCTGTGTAGCAACTTTATGAAAGGCAATTAGTTATGGAAATGATATGTAATGATACCATTGATGATAAATTTAATGTTAGACTGCTCATTGGGTTTCATAATAAAGTTGTAAAAATGTACCATCAAAGATGATTAAACATTGGTATAGCACTCGATCCCTCACTGAGATTCTGTTTAGGTACTATATATGAGCATGGCCACCATAATGCAGCATTTGCAAAAAGACAGTATCAGGCATCGCTGAAATCTTTTTCCAGGATAACAGGCAATGTTCTGCTACTTAACTCATCTGCTCTAATGTTTAAAGTCCTGAAAGAATTCTGAAATGAGACTAAAATGATTATTTTTAAATGGAAACCTCGGGAAGCGAAAATGGTCCAGGTAAGTATGGAATAAAATTAGGTCTTCATTATCCATTAAGCCTTTCCCTCCACATCTTGTCCAATTAGCCCTGTGATCTTTATACAGCCCATACAATTCCATGTTGGAGGAAGGTGAACACAGATTTTTAGTACTAAAGTCGATTTTAAATTTTACTCCCAGAACCAAATTTAAGCCAAGTTTCGCCTCGTCTTCCTATTTTGAGTTTACTATCATCACTTGCATTCCAATTTGTACAATTTATGGTTCCAGCAGTATACTTTTGTCTTTTTTCAAAAATCCTTTAGCCAAAAGAGAATTTATTCAGCTTTAAGCACAGTGCTTTACCTGGAAATGTGTACCATGTAGTCGCTGTCTTTAAAAAGTGAAGTTTCGTCTTGCCTCATGCTTATGTACTCCGCACAAAATAGAAGACATTGGTGCAGAGATTACTTTGAACACCAAAATGACAGCATGCACAGAAGCAGACCCTGATGTCTACGGGGCCACAACAGGCTGGAGGAAGTGTCTACACCACCCATCATTGTGTTACAGTTTCCATGTTGTCAGCAGCTGTGTATATGCAGATGGCAACCCCTGTGGCTGTTCCAAGGGGAGGGATTAGGGAAAAGACAGGGAGTGAGATGGAGCTTTCCTTCATGAAGTAGCTGCTTGTTGTCTGGCCTCTATTCACAGCAGTGGTAGGCAATGCACAGGTGCAGTGCCAAATAGAGTTTGGAACATGTATAGTACGAGTTCTGGTAACGGAAGGTCATTAGTTTCTCAGATCCACAACTGCAATGTTTTTGTTTGAGCAGAGTGTGCAGTTGGACTGGTCAGCTCTGGAAATGTGTGGGCTGCAAACCCCAGAAAATAACGTAATAGAAAATAATGAGGTTTCGGTCAGCTGCTATTGTCACTTTGCAGTGATCGTGTTCCTGTGCATGCTTGGGCAGTGCATCACTTAGTGGTATTCACAATAAATGCAGTCTGTTGTGTGATAACTATAATATTATATCTGCCAAAACTTTGTCATGGTAAATGTATGGATTGTGCACCCCCACACGAGTCTTTATTCTTAAAAAAAGGAATTGAGTATAGTTCTATGAACCTCTTCTAAAATATATCTTGATTCTGTCATTTATATTTTTATCCATGTAAGCTGTGTAATCAGTAATGATCTTTTTTTTGTTCCTTGTTTAGTCACTTAATCTGGGCATAACCAACACTTTCTCTCACTGATTCTGCACCGCCCCACCCCCACCGCCTTTTGATTGTAGTCATATCTACTGAGTACAGTGAAAATCTTTGTTTTGCAAGCAGTATGGGCAGCTCATAGCAAGCAAGGAAATATGGATCATAAGCATACAGGTTACATCTGCTCAGGAGATTTGCAGGCAAGATGAACATTATTTGAAGTTAGAGATGTCCATTAATAACGGCAGGCAAGAAGCTGTTCTTAAATTTTCTGGTACGAGTTGGAGCTTCTGTGTCTAGTGCTTGTTCAAAGAGGTTGGTAGAGAGCGTTACTGGGGTGGGTGGGGTCTTTGGCAGCCTGTCTACAGCAACGCAAAGTGTAAATGGAGTCCAGGGATGGGAGGTTGGCTTCCGTGATAGTCTGGGCTATGCAGAGAACCTTTTTGTGGTTTGTTTTTTTTTTAGGTCCTGGCAGAGCAGTTGCCCTACCAGGCCGTTATGTACATAGTTGGTATACTTTCTACGGTGCATCTGTAAAAGTTGGTGACAGTCCTTATTTCCTGAGGCGTTGTACCACCTTGACCGTTGCGTGCAGATGGGAACTCCAGATCAGATTGTTGGTTATTGTCATTCCTCAGAACTTGATGCTGTCAAACCTCTCCACTTCAGCTCCATTGATGTAGATGGGGGTATGTCCTCCTTTCTGCCTGAAGTCAACGATAAGTTCTTTTGTTTTGCCGATATTGAGCGAGAGGTTGTTACTGTTGCACCATAACATCAAGCCCTTGATCTCCTTCCTGTTTTCTGACTCATCGTTGTTTTGATATCCATCCTGTCACACGTGTCATCAGCGAACATAAGATGGTGTTCGTTCAGAATTCAGCTGCACAATCATGTGTGTCTGGGGAGTACGGGGGTGGGGCTGAATGCATCCTAGGGGGCTCCAGTGTTGAGGATTATGGTGGGCGAGGTGCTGTTTTCTACCTTCACTGTGGTCTGTGGGCCAGGATGCGGAGGATCCCTTTGCAGAGGGCACAGCCAAGACCTAGGTCTCGAAGTTTTCAGACTAGTCTGGGGATTATTGCATTGAAGGCAGAACTCTAGTTGACAAATAGGAGTCTGACGTCGGTGTCCTTGTTATCCGGATATTCCAGGGATGAGTGCAGGGCTAAGGAAATGGCATCCCGCTGTGGACCTGTTTTGTCAGTAGGCAAATTGCAGATGATCGAGGCAGATTGTGAGGCCAGAATTGATGTGGACCATGACCAACCCCTCGAAGCACTTCATGTTGATGGAGTCAAGAGTACTGCGCAGTAGTCATTAAGGCATGTTGTTTGTGTTTTCTTTGGTACTGGGATTATGGTGGCCTTCTTGAAGCAGGTAGGGACACCTTGTAAAAGGAGGAGGTTGAGGATGTCAGTGAATACCTCCTCCAGCTGGTCTCCACATGATCCAAGTGCACAGCCCTCCCTCTTCCCCCCCCTCTCTGCTTCTCCTCCTCCTCCTCCTCCTCCTCCTCCTCCTCCTCCTCCGACTTTCCCCACACAGTGCATGAACTGGATGTTAATTTTGCCACTCTCCTTTGCAACCCATCAACTATCCCCACCACTGACATCATGGACTCGGCAGAAAAGGAATCACATTTCCTCAACATCTATCTTCAGAGAGCCCCTCAAGTAGTCAAAAAAGTTGTCATTGTCCTCCTGTTGATGATGAATGGTTTGATGGACATAGTTCACAGATAATATCACTCCTCTTTTACTGCATCCAGACTCAAACCTTGCTGAATTTCTCACCAACATATCTCTCTGCTTTGCCCTCTGAGCAACTGCAACAAGTGACTTTTCAACCTCTAATTTCAACTTCCATCTTCCGTTGGTGTCTCTTCTGAGTTCACTGCACTTATGTTCTCTCTTCGCCTCCTCTTTCACATTATCTCTTCTGGTTGTATCCCCTTGATCTTGTCATTTCATGTGACCTATCTATTCTATCATCAAACTGAGATTTTATATCCCACATCTCTTGCATATCTGTTTACCTTTCCAACTCCATTTTCTTCTGCACCTGTCCCTAGGGGAAAGAATTCTTTCATCAATTTGTTTTCGCCATCACTGCCACCCCTAACCCCTTTAAAACATGAGCTAGTGTTGCCTGAGAGAGCTTCAAAACTGTTGCCTTTGGCTGTCTATTTGCAGTTTTTAATGTATCTTCCAATTTGCTCAATTGCACTCGAGCCTCTGTCTTCAGATTCCCGTGACTCCAGTATGATCTCATCTTTGTTCGCAGAAGTTCAAGCAGTGCTGATTGCATGTTGATGGTGCACATTTGGTTTCGCCATTCATCCTCCGATCTGGCTGGCTGTTGGCTTAGAACTGTTTGCATCAATTGTTGCATTTTACAACCTATTAATTGTCAATGTCCAAAAAATCAGACTTTTGTGGAATTACTCAAAAAGACCAGCTTAAATGTAAGTTAGTTAAGTACTTTTTTGGCCTCTTTTTTGTATATAACCTTGCCCAGTCATATTTTTGATTATGACTCATGGTGCATCTTCTGCAGATTTCACTTTCTTGCTATTGCTTTTCATTAGAAATTTGATAGTTCAAGAGAAGTAGAACATAGCAACTGAATTACTATATTTAACCATTTTATCATAGAACATTTTTATCACTTTAATTAAGTACTTATTTTACTTTAGACTAAGAAAATATTGTGTGCTAGGAAAAGATGAAACAGCTGAGTCATACCGGTTTAGTGGGCCTAATAACCACAGACAAGATGGTCTCCAACTTCATATTTTTCTTCCTTGTCAAAAGCTTGAGAAAGTTTCCATATGATACTTCAAAACAAAAACCAAAGGCTTGACTTTAATATCCATGTGGTGTTTTATATCATAGATCAATGTGAATTCAGAAGTAGTTGAGATGATGTGATAACTTTTTCGTTTAACACTATTTCAAGGTTTCTACCATCTGCTCCTACTTCTTTCTAACAATCATTTTCGTGAATTGTGGTGAAATATAATGAACAAAATAACAATCATTCATACAAGAACAACCTGAATTTATTTCTGTTTCCTCTTTGCCAATTTCAGAAGAGAAGCAAGTTAGTAAGAAAGCAGAAGGATCTCAGACTCCTGAAATTATAGAATCTCCTTCCACCAAGGATCAGGTAGAAATGTAAGTGTTAAACTTATTCATCTGTTTTAAAACACAGTTACCGTTTCAGGGCACATTCTGGATTAACACTTTTGGTTTGTTTTCTTCCAAGGTATTTAGTGTTTCTAACTCCTACAAATCTTGATTATTTTGTAAAGTAAATCAATCAATGTGTTTACATGTAAAATTGATATCATTGCTTGTGTGTTGATAGCTGTATTTTCAGTGAAGACTATTGGAATATGAATTTACAGAAACTTCTGAAGGGATCAGTGAATTCAAAGTTGACAAATGTAATTATGATGTCAATAATTAAAAATTCATTAACCTAGATCACTTAACTCATTTGCATTTTATTTTTAGGTATTATGAGGCATTTCCACCTCTTTCTGAGAAGCCAATCTGTCTGCAAGAAATCATGACTGTGTGGAATAAAGCTAAAGCTTGTTCATTTTCTGGTGGTTCTTCTTCATCTGCTGCTCCACAAACAAGCACTGATACATCCTCTCCAAAAGATTGCAACAGTGAAGGTGAAGGTACTAGAGCACGAACAAATGAGGCTCCTATCACTACAAGTAGTAGTCGTATGTTCAGAAGAAGTAAAAAGGAAAAAGAAAATAGGCACAACAATAGCTTGCCAGAACAGAAACCCACTACAGGAAAGAAGCAGATCAGACACCGGTCAGAAGGAAAGATGCGCCCTCGTTCATGGTCCTCTGGTTCCAGTGAAGCAGGCTCAAGCTCAAGTGGGAACCAGTATGAGTTTAAAGGTCCCACCAAAGCTGTAAAAATCAGACACAAAATGAGAGAAACTGCTCGGAACAAAAAAGGGCGAAATGGACAAGTTAGGCTATCTTTGAAATCTGTTGACAAAGATGATCGCAAAAGCACCTGTGGGAGCAGCAGCAGTGGACCGACCAAACAGCTGTGCAAAAAAGGAAAAAGATTTACGAAAGAAACGAGAAGGAAAACAAATGGCACCAGTGATACAAAAGATCTTAACAATGGGAGTGGAAGGGAACAAGAATTTAAAGAAGAACCATTATGGTACACTGAACCAATTGCAGAGTACTGGTTCCCTCCAAGTAGAAAAAGTAAGCTAGAAACTGCATACCGGAATAGCGTAGCTGCTAATGATAGTGAATCTTTGACTTTGGAAGAGCTTTCAGAGACAATGCAGGGTCTTTGTATTAGTAACAATAATTTCCAAACATACCTCGCGGCAGGTGCTTTCGTCGATGGTCACTTTGTTGAAATGCCTGCATTATTAGATGAGGCGAATGACCTCACTGGGACCTCCAGCTGTTCTAATCCCAAGGACAGTGATATTTTAGATGATATGCATCTATCTGAATTTACTCACTTCTATGAAGTGGATATTCACCAATCCATATTGGATCCTAGTGCCTCAAATTCGTTGCAAGGAGAGAGTCGAATTTTAAGCATGATTCGACGGAAAAGTACAGAGCAAACTGATTTTGAGGCAGACTGTTGTATAGTGTTAGATGGACTACAGTTGACAAGGGAAAGTGCAATATGGACAGATTCCCAAGCTTCTCTTGATGCAGAAGGATTGTTCTTAAATGATCTAGCAAATATAGCTCAATTTTGGGAGTGCTCTAGCTCTGAAGCAGAAGGAGAAAGCTTTGCTGGGGATTCCCCCATTACGCTTTCTCCTATTGTGGATAATACAGTGTGTGATGCAAGTAGCAGCACTGGCAATCAAGAAGAACACTTTTCAGAAGCAAATGAAGGGTCTGGTTTAAACTCCACTTGTTTTTCTCTGTTTGAAGTGCAATATGATAATTCTACTTCACCGTTCTGTTTTGATGGACTTAGCCTGGGAAATCAGAACAGTGATATTGGAGGCTGGGCAGATTTACCAGGGAAAACACAGTCTCGTTTGCTTATATGGACCAAAAATAGTGCCTTTGATGAAAATGACCACTGCTCAAATCTTTCAACACGAACCTGCAGCCCATGGTCACATTCTGAAGAAACACGTTCAGATATTGAAACCTCCTTTGGTATTCAGATGGAGGAGTCCACTAAATTTAATGCAGATGAGATTGATTGTATAGTCCCTGGCATTTCATCCAGCCTTCTTGATGAAGACCTCTTAGATTTATTGCATGAGGACACTCCTTCACAAACAGATGGAGCTTTACGAAATATAACAAGCATGACTTTCAAACAGAAATCCAAGCTGGAGTCGGTGTGTGGAATTCAGTTGGAAGAAGAAGAAAACAAGGAATGTGAAACTGTGGAAATTTTTGCAGAGCAGATGGCCACTCGTGGGGACAGCTATGGCTCAGAAGTTATAAAGGACATTTGGACAGCCATAGCAGAAAATAATGCCGCAGCAACACTAGATGTAGAACGATCAGAAGAGGATTTTTTTTCTGGTGAGGTGAATGGTTGCCATTGCTGTTGTTTGGATATGGTAACAAAACAGGACATCCTGCAAGAGCCTCGTGAAAAGGCAGTGCAACGGTCTGAATATCACTTGTGGGAGTGCCAGAAGGAAAACCTAGAGGCCCAAGCCGTTGCAACTGGAGAACTTGCAGAGATAGATGTAGGTGATTACACTGCACCTTCCAAACCTTGGGATATTGGTGCTGACAAAGAAAGTGCTTTTATTCTTGGTGGAGTCTATGGAGAACTGAAAACATTCGACAGTTGTGGAGACTGGGGTGTAGTTCCTCCTGATCCTGCAAAAGGTACTTTATTGCAGTGTGCAGCTTCAGATGTTGTGACCATAGCAGGTACAGATGTTTTTATGACCCCAGGCAGCAACTTTGCTCCTGGCCACAGACCATTGTGGAGATCTTGTGCTTCATTCACACCATGCGATCAGACAAGGAAAGGAGATGATAGGTTAAATACTGAGTTCTCTTTCATCTTCCATGAAGATTTATTGGGTAATTGCAGTAATTACCAGAGTCAAGAACCGAGTGTTGAGTATTCATTTTCCTCCTTTGACTTGAATAATCCTTTTTCACAAGTTCTTCATGTGGAATGTTCGTTTGAACCTGAAAGGCTTGCAACATTTAGTCCAGGCTTTAAGCCCAAATCTATACTGTGTTCAGACTCGGAAAGTGAAACGTTCCATCCTAAAATATATAGTATTGACAAAACACAGTACAGGGCTATTCGAATTTCACCGCGGACTCATTTCAGACCTATATCTGCCTCTGAGCTTTCACCAGGTGGAGGAAGTGAGTCAGAATTTGAGTCCGAAAAGGAGGACGTTACTATACCTGTCCTCTGCCAGACAGATTTGTTTGAGGATCAACAGGCAGACTTAAAGCCTTTGGAAGAAGATGCTGAGCGCGAAGGACATTATTATGGAAAGTTGGAGCTGGAATCAGGAAAATTCCTGCCGAGACTAAAAAAAGCTGGAATGGAAAAGAGCGCTCAGACTTCATTAGATTCTCACGAAGGATCTGGCAGCCTTTTACAAGCAGAACAGCAGTGCCCGGAATGTAATTTACAGGCATCAATTGGATGCACCAGTGTGAATAGTTGTGAAATAGATTTCAAGTTGAAGGTACCATGTGAAAAATTGGAAGTGTTCCAGAATCATACAATAGGTAGAAACTTTTCTGGATACAGTGAGGAAACTGATGTAAGAGCAGCATCTCTACAAGAGGTAAGTACCTCTGTTCAGTACATTGACAATTTGGACGTTCCTCTGTTGCAGGCAATAGTCTTCTAACAAGGTTGCAATAAGTAACTTCTTGCTACTTGTTCAGTTGCTGAGAGGTTATAAGAACGTAGAACATTACAGCGCAGTACAGGCCCTTCGGCCCTCGATGTTGCGCCGACCTGTGAAACCAATCTAACCTACACTTTCCATTATCATCCGTATGTTTATCCAATGACCATTTAAATGCCCTTCAAGTTGGCGAGTCTACTACTTTTGCAGGCAGGGCATTCCACGCCCTTACTACTCTCTCAGTAAAGAACCTACCTCTGACATCTGTCCGATATCTATCACCCCTCAATTTAAAGCTATGTCCCCTCGTGCTAGCCATCACCATCCGAGGAAAAAGGCTCCCACTGTCCACCCTATCTAATCCTCTGATCATCTTGTATGTCTCTATCAAGTCACCTCTTAAACTTCTTCTCCCGAACAAAAACAGCCTCAAGTCCCTCAGCCTTTCCTCATAAGACCTTCCCTCCATACCAGGCAACATCCTGGTAAATCTCCTCTGCGCCCTTTCCAATGCTTCCAAATGCTTCCACATGCTTCCTATAATGCGGCGTCCAGAACTGTACGCAATACTCCAAGTGCGGCCGCACCAGAGTTTTGTACAGCTGCAACATGACCTCATGGCTCCGAAACTCAATCTCTTTACCAATAAAACCTAACACACCGTACGCCGCCTTTCACAATGCTATCAACCTGGGTGGCAACTTTCAGTGATCTATGCACATGGACACCGAGATCTCTCTGCTCATCCACACTACCAAGAATCTTACCATTAGCCCAGTACTCTGTATTCCTGTTACTCCTTCCAAAGTGAATCACCTCACACTTTTCTGCATTAAACTCCATTTGCCACCTCTCAGCCCAGCTCTGCAGCTTATCTATGCCCCTCTGTAACCTGCAACATCCTTCCGCACTATCCACAACTCCACCGACTTTGGTGTCATCCGCAAATTTACTAACCCATCCTTCTACGCCCTCGTCCAGGTCATTTTATAAAAATGACAAACAGCAGTGGCCCCAAAACAGATCCTTGAGGTACACCACTAGTAACTGAACTCCAGGATGAACATTTCCCATCAACCACCACCCTCTGTCTTCTTACAGCTAGCCAATTTCTGATCCAAACCGCTAAATCACCCTCAATCCCATGCCTCTATTTTCTGCAATAGCCTACCGTGGGGAACCTTTTCAAACGCTTTACTGAAATCCACATACACCACATCAACCGCTTTACCCTCATCCACCTGTTTGGTCACCTTCTCGAAGAACTCAATAAGGTTTGTGAGGCACGACCTACCCTTCACAAAACCGTGTTGACTATCCCTAATCAAATTATTCCTTTCTAGATGATTATAAATCCTATCTCTTATAATCCTTTCCAACACTTCACCCACAACCGAAGTAAGGCTCACTGGTCTATAAGTACCAGGGTTGTCTCTACTCCCCTTCTTGAACAAGGGGACAACATTTGCTAGTCTCCAGTCTTCTGGCACTATTCCTGTAGACAATGACGACAAAGATCAAAGCCAAAGGCTCTGCAATCTCCTCTCTAGCTTCCCAGAGAATCCTAGGATAAATCCCATCCGGCCCAGGGGACTTATCCATTTTCACACCTTCCAGAATTGCTAACACCTCCTCCTTATGAACCTCAATCCCGTCTAGTCTAATAGTCTGTATCTCCGTATTCTCCTCGACAACACTGTCTTTTTCCTGTGTGAATACTGACGAAAAATATGCATTTAGCGCCTCTCCTATCTCTTCAGACTCCACGCACAACTTCTCACTACTGTCCTTGACTGGCCCTAATCTTACTCTAGTCATTCTTTTATTCCTGACATACCTATAGAAAGCTTTAGGGTTTTCCTTGATCCTACCTGCTAAAGACTTCTCATGTCCCCTCCTGGCTCTTCTTAGCTCTCTCTTTAGGTCCTTCCTGGCTAACTTGTAACTCTCAAGCGCCCTAACTGAGCTTTCACGCCTCATCTCTACATAAGCCTCCTTCTTCCTCTTGACAAAAGATTCAACTTCTTTAGTAAACCACGGTTCCCTCGCTCGACCACTTCCTCCCTGCCTGACAGGTACATACTTCTCAAGGACACGCAGTAGCTGTTCCTTGAACAAGCTCCACATTTCAATTGTGCCCAGCCCCTGCAGTTTCCTTCTCCATCCTAAGCATCCTAAATCTTGCATAATTGCCTCATAATTGCCTTTCCCCCAGCTATAACTCTTGCCCTGCGCTATATACCTATCCCTTTCCATCGCTAAAGTAAACGTAACCGAATTGCGGTCACTATCACCAAAGTGCTCACCTACCTCCAAATCTAACACCTGGCCTGGTTCATTACCCAGTACCAAATCTAATGTGGCCTCGCCTCTCGTTGGCCTATCAGGAAACCCTCCTGCACACATTGGACAAAAACTGACCCATCTAAAGTACTCGAACTATAGCGTTTCCAGTCAATATTTGGAAAGTTAAAGTCCCCCATAACAACTACCCTGTTACTTTTGCTCCTATCCAGAATCATCTTTGCAATCTTTTCCTCTACACGTCTGGAACTTTTCAGAGGCCTATAGAAAACTCCCAACAGGGTGACCTCTCCTTTCCTGGTTCTAACCTCAGCCCATACTACCTCAGTAGACGAGTCCTCATCAAACGTCCTTTCTGCCACCGTAATACCGTCCTTGACTAACAATGCCACAGCTCCCCCTCTTTTACCACCTTCCCTGATCTTGCTGAAACATCTAAACCCCGGAACCTGCAACAACCATTCCTGTCCCTGCTCTATCCATGTCTCCGAAATGGCCACAACATCGAAGTCCCAGGTACCAACCCATGCTGCAAGTTCACCCACCCTATTCTGGATGCTCGTGGCATTGAAGTAGACACACTTCAAACCACCTTCTTGCCTGCCGGTACACTCCTGTGACCTTGAAACCTTATTCATGACCTCGCTACTCTCAACCTCCTGTACACTGGAGCTACAATTGAGGTTCCCATCCCCCTGCTGAATTAGTTTAAACCCTTCCGAAGAGCATTAGCAAATTTCCCACCCAGGATATTGGTACCCCTCTGGTTCAGGTGTAGACCATCCCGTTTGTAGAGGTCCCACCTACCCCAGAATGAGCCCCAATTATCCAGGTATCTGAATCCCTCCCTCCTGCACACAATACTTAAAGACATAGTTAACAATGATCTTATCCCATTGATCAGGCTAACTGAGCTATGTTTCAAGACACGGTGAATCAAGATTATACAATTGTTTTGGAGGTTTCTTGTTGAATGGGTCACAATTAAGTCAGAACCTAACATTGTTGCCAAAGGGGTAACAAACTTTCGAAGTAAGGAGATTGAGAGGATTTGGAAAGAAAGTTGTACCTTAGTTCCTAGAAAATGGTTATTGTCTTATCTAATGCAAATGAATATGGATAAATAAATACTTTGTTCCCAACAAATCTGTGAATAAATCTGTATATTTCCACTGGAGCAAGTAACAATGCTATGTCCGAAAATGGCCACCCATTCAAGTAGTGGGTTTTTATAATAAGTGCCAAAAAATGAAAGATTTCTTAAAATAAACAAACGCATTACAAATTTCATTCAACTAATTTTTAAGCTTGAGGGGAAGAACTGATCTAAATTTGATATAAAAACAGGTGATTTTGTCATTTTAAATGCATGACATGCAATTATTTTGAATCCAATATCAAGTATGAAAATTCCAAACAAGTTGCAGTAGCCAGTAATTTGTTCATGGAGTTGAATAATCAGAAAGCAAGCTAAATGAAAACTTCACAGAAAAGAGACTGGTTAATTCACATCAGAAAACATTGCGCATTTGTAAGCTTATCCATAAATGGTTTTTAAAATCGTGATGTAGTTCATCTACTCAAGTTTGAAGTGAAAAAGTCTTTCTACTATAAGTAACTATGATCACATATTATTTGCTGATTTATTCATTGATTGATAAATTTGCTTGCTAACTTAATTTAAATGCAAATTGTGGATTGGTTGTCTACCACTTTTTTGAAGATTGACTTCAAATATTGGGGGAGGGGAAATAGCAGCACTTACAGCAATTACCAATAAAGAAACTTGTTCTTCCATTTTCCTGATGCGATAGCTAAAACATAAATCACAAAATGAGTGTGACTGACAAGTATGAAGACTTGAAAATTGCTCAATTTCTTCTCTCAAAGGGTAATGAACATGTGGAATTCTTTATTACAGAGATCTGTAGAGAATGGGTTATTAAGTATATTCAAGGACAATCAAAGGGAATCAAAGGTTGTGTGGAGAAGGCCAAGTGAAGCTGAGGATTATCAGATTAGCGATCTCATTGACAGCAGATAGGCTGAATGGCCTACTCCTCGTGCTTTATGCTCTTAAACATGTGATCGAAGATATCAAAGAAAAGTATTCTTTAGTAACAAGATCTGAAGACAAAATACTTAACTATCATTTTGCTATTCATTGTGTACATTAAACTAAGATGTTATGAATTGATAGAATTTCACAGTATCATTGATGATGACAATGCAAATGAAACGATAGAACCAAAATGTTAATAGTTGACATAATCAAATTTTAATATATTTGTACTCTTTGAAAGGAAATTCTGAAAGGTTTATTCTTGCGATTTGGGCATTGTCAACAAGTCTGTACTTACAAACTAAAATGTTGGACTGCCATCAAGCAAATGCCCTTCATTATATCACTTTGCGTGAAATTAGAAGTAAACTTTGTAGTATGAGATTTGAATTAAGTGTGACTTAGATTGAGAAATAAAGCAGCTTCCTTTTGCTGAAGTCGTGTGAACTCTAATGACAATCCAGCAGTATCCCTTTTTTATGATTTGAATCCTATTTTAGAACGTTCATTGCCATCTTCAAGTCCTTTATCTATTTAAAATGTATTTCCTTAGATCCTCTTTGTACTG